ACTTCACAGTAAAGATTTAATCCACTCTTTTCATCTTTGAGCATAAAATCCCCTTACCACCTTGATTACACAAGGAAAAGCACTTTTTTAGGGATGGACATGCAAACACACCACAACCACTACCATGCAGTCAGATCCGACTCATAGCGACCCCTCCTTGGGTTTCGAGGCAGTATCACTACAGAAGTAGATTGCCCAACCTTCCTTCCCAGGAGTGGCTGGTAGGTTTGAACCGCCAGCCTTCTGGTTAGCAGTCACCTGCCTTAGGCACTACACCTCCAGAGCTCCCATTGAGATGGATAGTTAGATTGGTTTCCATGGTTCTTCTTGGCCTTTACCTTCCTTTTATTATTTCTAATTCTGGCCAAGGGAATATTAAATGTAAAAGAGACAGAATTCTTTATTGTTTATGCCTTTGAGAGGTCTATTAATGTCAATAATTTTGATCAGAGTTACCAACACCAGTATCAGTTGCTGTGGAGTCAATTCTGACTCATAGCAACCCCATGTATGCCAATGTAGAACTGTGCTCTACAGGATTCAATGGCTGAATTTTCAGAAGTAGATTGCCATGCCTTTCTTTTGAGGTGCATGTGGGTGGACTTGAACTGCCAATCTTTTGGTTAGCAGCCAAGCACCTTAACTTTTTGACCACCCAGGGACTCCCTGCAGGTACGTAATAGACCATTCGTTCTTTCTCTATTGATTGAGTTCCTATTATATGTCAACCAATGTTTTAGATTCTAGGCTACAGTTGTGACTAAACAAACACATGGTCTTTTCCAAGAAGGTAAGATAGATATACAGCAAAAGAAACAGGTGAGATATATAATACAGTTGATGGTAGTAAGAGAGATGGAGAAAAATAAAGCCACTGCACATGGTAGGTTCACACAAGCAGTTGTGCCTCTAGAAAACAGAATCTTACACGTGGTGATTTTCTTGGGCTGTTTAGAACTTAAAAAAGGCTTAGTGTTTTGGAGAAGATTCATCGCTTAAACCACTTTCTGCCTCTGCTCTCATTCTTTTGCCTTCTGCTGATAGGAAATGGTCTTAAGGCCAATGCATGAGAAAACATCCATTTCCAGGAAAATTTGGACCAATGAAAATAGCTAATTGGAGGAAATGGGAGAAAGCAAATCTCTGTCAAATTTGTTCATAATACAACCTCTCACACAATGAAGATGTAGCAATCAGTCTGGCTGGGAAATGTATTTAGCTGAGTCTGCCCTCTGCTGACAGAAATACTAAGAAGTCAATTCATTTTAAAAATCAAACAGGAAAGTTTCATTTTAGGTAACTCTCTGTGTCTCTTTAAAACTTACATCGTTTAGGAAATATTCATCTTCCACAATTTAATTATTCATTCATTTACTCATTCAAATATTTATTCATCCCTTATGTATCAGACACTATTTACAGAGATGGAAATACACTGGGGAACAAGATAGATAAGTCTGCTGCTTTAATGGGATATATATTCTACAAAGAGAAAATGGTCCAAAACCAAACTATCAATATACATGAAAATACTACCTAATACTTTTTTTTTTTTTTAAATACAATAAGAAGCTGCTGTGCTAGAGATAGACTCATGGCCTCTCCCAAGCATGTGCCATTTAAAATAAAAGCTGAGTAACAGGAAGTAGCTTGCCAATAACTGATGAGAGGATCAATTAATGAAGAGGCAGAGCTAATGCAAAGGTACCAAGTTAGGGACAAGCTTGTTTGGATCAAGGACAAACCAGAAAGCCACTATAAGTAAGGCGTTTGTGTGGGAGGAGAGTGGTTCAGAAAGTGGTGAAAGGATCCAGATTAAAAAACCCTTGGAGAATATACTCTATGTACAGTCCCATGCCCGAGGCTGTTGAGTTAATTCTAATTCATAGCAACGCTGTAGGACAGAGAACTGCCCCACAGGGTTTCCAAGGCTATAATCTTTATAGAAACGGACTGCCTCATTTTTCTTCCATGGAAAAACTGGTGTGTTTGAACCACTGATCTCTCCGTCAGCAGCCAAGATCTTAAGCTATTGAAATGTTTTTAAATCAGAAAATACTATAGTAAAGTTTGTATCTTTTAAAAGAACAATCTGGCTTTTTGTGAAAAGAGAGATGGATTTATTCCAAATGTAATGATAAGCCCTTGAAAATTTTTATGAAGAAGGTGGTTATTTAAAAATATATTTACATTAAAAATATGTGTCTAATCTGTGATTCTTAGTTTTTCTACTAGATTGCATGTCCCAGGAGATAGTGATCATATTTTCTATTTTTATGCTATCTTTACTACTTATCATTCCACATTTGAAAATAACGTTTAGTACAAATCTCCATACCTAGAGTGGATTGAGGGGAAGTGTGCTAAAATGTTAGAGAATGTATGTCTCTTTCATCTTTCTGTTGGAAAGCTGATCTGAATTTCAAGTGAAGTGAAACTCACGGGTCACCAAGAGAGCAAAGTTTATTCCAAGGTTTCACTCTCCCTTTGCTCCATTTTACTCATAATGCTAAATGCTACTTGCACCTGATTGGATGCCTTCCCCAGCAACCACCTCACAGAGGTAGCTCAGATTTAAGTAGATGACTCAGAGTGGAGCTTCCGCAAGTACTATCAGGCAGATTTGCGGAAGTTTTGGCAAGGGAAGGATAGTGAGCACAGCTTTTTTATTATTTAAGTAGTGCAGAAATGGAGGTAGTTTCCTTCAGAAATTGATGACTATCTTTTTAAAAATCTTTTTATTGTGATTTGGGTGAAAGTTGACAGGTCAAATTCATTTTCTATACAACAGTCCATAGACATTTTGTTTCCTGACATTGATTGCAATCCCCAGAATGTAACAGCTCTCTTCCCACTGCCTCTCTGTGGTTACCTTTTCCCTGTGTCTTTCTTTCTTATGGATTTCTGCCTTCTGACCTCTCTCCCTGCACAATTGCTGCCTTTTTGTTCTCCCAAGGTTGATTATTCTAAGGAGTGCATCTCCCTGGTGTGGCTGTTTACCTTGCAGGTCTGTGTATTGTTTGGCTGAAAGTTAAGCCATGGGAGTGAGTTCAATTCCAAACCCCAAAGGGTGACTAGCAACCATAGTCTTGGGGGTTTCACTAGTCACTATCAAACCAGAAACCCTGATCTTTTTTATGATTTTGAGTTTTGTCCTACATTTTCTCCACTCTATCTAGGATTTCCAATCTTGATCCCTTTCTGAGTGGTACCCTGACACCATCCAGTTCTTCTGATTTCAGGATCACATAAGCTGAAATTTGATTAAACACTAGTTATGTCAATTGAGCTTGATGTCCCCCATGACCCTGGTCCTGAGTCCATTCTTAGGCCTAGCATCTCACTCCCTCAAGGTGTTTGGTTGTGGCTAAGAAGTTATATTTATATATAAAATATAAATATATTTATAT